TCACTGCGCGTGACGTCATCACGCACGCGCGTCAGTATGCTGATACCTGCTGGAGGCCATCTCGGTGATGGACGCCAGCAGAGAGAGGAGGGGACAGTCACCCGGCAGGAAGTATATGACTGCTGTAGGAGGAAGAGGTGATATATGTAATCAGCGTGGGTTGGGGTATGCATTTGGCCCATACAGTCTACACAAGTAGGAAAATCTCCTTGTTACTTGGATCTGTGATGAAAGCAATGACGTGTAAACACCAATCACAGGAAACCTCCCTGACATACAGGAGCTGCAGCCAGCAGGGGCACCCCGGTCTTTCCTCACCTGTGAACACCAGGCCAGCCAGGGCCAACAGAGCCACGGCAGCAATGATGCATTTATTGACGGTAAGTGAGAAGCCGGAGTCCTCCTCCTGTTGTATGGACTCTCTCAGGGTGGGTCCCACACTAGTAGGTGGAGTTCCTCTCGCAGCACGCTTCCGGAGACCCTCCACGTCATCATCACTGCTGGAGCAGCTCACTTCCTCCAGATCGGCCCCTGCAGAGCAAGAACAATGGGCAGGTGGTGAGAGGGGAAATGCAGGGGTGGTACAAACATATCGCTGACAGTCACAGGGTGGGAGGAGAATCCAACTTCAGGGGATGGCCGCACAGAACTATTATCACACAGATTAACATAAAGGGTCACTCCGTGGTTATAAATGCATCAGCTTATTAGTCACTCTGAAGATCCCCCGCCCGCAATACACCCACACCAAAACTACAGAGACACCAAGTGCTGTACATCAAAGACACAAATCGGAGCCCACCATGAAACCCAAATCATGATCCCACCGTCACTCTGGATAAAGCTCAAGTTTAATCTGCATATGTTTTGCACTGCCTGTCCCCCCCCCCAAAAAAAGCTCATGGAGTTGTTAAATATAACCAGATTTCATTACATACCTTATTGTAGTCCCAGTGATGTGATCATTGTGGGTATCTGTGCTTCTCTATACAATGCAGGCAGATAATGTGTGGTGGGCTGTTCCTGGATCTTTAGACCTATTGTTCCCATTATGAGGGGTTCCCACCACCCCTGAGCTGAGTTCTCGGGTCTGTACACCTGCTGTGCCCATTATGAGGGGCTCCCACCATCCCTGTGCTGAGTTCCCGGGTCTGTACACCTGCTGTCCCCATTATGAGGGGTTCCCACCATCCCTGAGCTGAGTTCCCGGGTCTGTACACCTGCTGTGCCCATTATGAGGGGCTCCCACCCTCCCTGTGCTGAGTTCCCGGGTCTGTACCCCTGCTGTCCCCATTATGAGGGGTTCCCACCATCCCTGAGCTGAGTCCCCGGGTCTGTACACCTGCTGTGCCCATTATGAGGGGCTCCCACCATCCCTGTGCTGAGTTCCCGGGTCTGTACACCTGCTGTCCCCATTATGAGGGGTTCCCACCATCCCTGAGCTGAGTTCCCGGGTCTGTACACCTGCTGTGCCCATTATGAGGGGCTCCCACCATCCCTGTGCTGAGTTCCCGGGTTGCTTCCCTTAAAGAGACACAGCACATTCCGTTACACGGTACGTATTCCATGCAACAAGCGGGTCAAGCCTCTCATCGCACACCATGCGTCACGCAGCACCTGTTTCGCTAGCAGAGCGCCGCCCCCAGCTCCTGAGTCCACCCAGCGGTAGGGAATCGGGTAGGAACTGCGCTAACTTCTCAATGTAACGTGCTTCAAGACAAGAAGGCAGAGAAAGGGAAGGGAGGTTATAGGGTTCCGGAGAGATGGATGTACTACAAAGCGCAGTCACTGGCGGTCCGCTTGCACGTGCGTTAATCAGAGAGGCGGAAAGTGTAATGGTATCGTGCGATGAGTGCAGATGGCACGCCCCCCTCAATGGGACACTCCCCCCTACAGGATGTCATTGGTACTCACCTAATCTTCTGCGCAGTCCTGGGCTTGGCTCCTCCCCCAAGCTCTGCGGCTCCTCTGGGGGGATCTCAAAGGGCTCCTGGTATGACGGGATCTCAGTGACAGGGGGAGGAGACTCAGGTTCCTGAAGAGGAGGAGACTCGGGCCCCTGAGGAAGACAAATATGGGAAGACTATTTATAAAAGGGCTGAAGTGATAACTGTATGACTTTGTTATTGCCCAATACATAGGCCCATAGCAGAAATGTAACAATAGGGGGGTGTTCAAGAACGAGAGCTGAAGGGGTTAATTTATGAGCCATGTCTACTATTCCTTCGTCTCACTGAAAGCCTATAGGTCAGCTCAGACCAATCCTGTCTCTGGATAATTGATCTCGTCTCAGCAGCCCTTTTACCAGGGTGGCCCATTTGTACTACCCCATACAGAGACAGCCACAAGAATCTGCAGGTCTGGATAGACATGAAATACGGAACAGCAAATATGTAAACGTGTGAGAAATCCCATCATCAATACCTTCCTGGGTAATAGAACCAGAACCTATCATGTGACTCAGTGACCCCGCCCCCAGTGTTCTGTTCATTATGTACCACCACTTACCTCCCCAACTCCCGTCTCCTCTTTCTCTGGAACAGCAGTCGGTTCAGGACCTGAAATCAGACGGATAATTGGGTGTGAGCGCAGAATGAGAAACTAAAGAGGAACTCCGAAATACAAGCATAGCTGATCTATGAGGTCACCATGCCCCTTATACTGGCCACACACGTGTCACCGCTATCTGTTTGTTTGGATATAAAGTTAGAATTAGAGGGTTAGGGTTACAGGGCTAGGTTCGGAGGGGTTAGGTCCGGAGGGGTTAGGTTCGGAGGGGTAAGGTTCGGAGGGGTAAGGTTCGGAGGGGTAAGGTTCGGAGGGGTAAGGTCCGGAGGGGTTAGGTTCGGAGGGGCTAAGTTCGGAGGGGCTAAGTTCGGAGGGGTAAGGTTGGGAGGGGTTAGGTTCTGGGGGGTTTCGTTCGGAGGGGTTAGGTCCGGAGGGGTTAAGTCCGGAGGGGTTAGGTCCGGAGGGATTAGGTCCGGAGGGATTAGGTCCGGAGAGGTTAGGTCCGGAGGGGTTAGGTTCGGAGGGGCTAGGCTCGGAGGGGCTAGGTTCGGAGGGGCTAGGTTCGGAAGGGTTAGATTCGGAGGGGCTAGGTTCGGAAGGGTTAGGTTCGGAAGGGTTAGGTTCGGAGGGGTTAGGTTCAGAAGGGTTAGGTTCGGAGGGGTTAGGTCCGGAGGGGTTAGGTCCGGAAGGGTTAGGTTCGGAGGGGTTAGGTTCGGAGGGGTTAGGTTCGGA